ACCATGAAAACAGTTTGACTCAGAGACACCTCCAGATCAAAAGGTCCCCAAACATACTGAATACCACTCGCCTAAAGGAATACTAAGCACATGACTAGCACTTAACGAACACTAATGACTGGTCAATTAAATTATTTAAACTACAGTGATAAATATTTAATAATTACATTATTAAACTACACACTGATAAAATGCAATCAGGTTTAGTAATTATCATTCACACTTTGCATACTTGCAAAATATTTTTAAAACCTATGTGACTACAGAATTTAACACTCTGAACACAAAATTTTGACACCCTAAGCTTGAAGGTACAACACAGCATAGAGGCGAAGAGCTGCGACACTAGACTCAGACACTTTTAGCTTAAATCCTGACTGCAGCAAACTAGCTTTGAGATCTTGTCCAAAGTACTCAATCCTTCAACATGTACTTTCCCCATCTGTAAATGAGGATAACATAAGAAAGGTTGTTTTGAGGACTAAGTTAACACTTCAAAGATCTTGAAAAAGAAATTAGCATGCAGTAACTATGCAGTAAGTTATCTATTATCATGGTTAATCAAATATCCACTTAAAGCAATCAGATTGTTGTGTGATTAACAAACATACCTATTTCTTTTAGAAAGTACAAGATGCGGCCAGGCGAGGTGGCTCAGGCCTTTAACTCCAGCACTTTCGGAGACCTAGGCGGGCAGATCACCTGAGGTCAGGAGTTTGAGACCAGCCTGACCAACATGGAGAAACTCCGTCTCTACTAAACATGCAAAATTAGTCCACCATAGTAGCGCATGCCTGTAATCCCAGCTATTCGGGAGGCTGAGGCAGGAGAATCACTTGAACCCGGGAGTTGTAGGTTACGGGTGAGCCAAGATTGCACCACTGCACTCCAGCACTCCAGCCTGGGAAACAAGAGCAAAAATCCCATCTCAAAAAAAAAAAAAAAAAAGCATTGAAAGTACAAGATTCTTTATATAATAAAGACTAGACTTTGCCCATCTATACTAGTGAACGTCAAACCTGCATGAATCGTTTCTCCTTCTAGCCCACGCTCTTCAACGCCTTAACCTACAACTTTCCAGTGCTAAACTAGAAAATAATCAACTAATCCAAACAAACAAGTGAAAAAACTTCCTAAGTAGTGAAACATGGTGATTTCCCCCAGAGGTGTTTTTATCTCAATAGAATTTCCTAAAAAATTAAAAGTTCTTGAACAGTAAGGTTTAGATTTACACAACAGAATCCTCAAGATAAAAGTCTAGAACACAGGGAGAAGTGAGAAGAGTGGTATGAAAAAGAAGGCTTGCCTATCCACTAAAAACAGGTAGACTGTTGGCAAGGAAGCCAAGGAGAAAGAAATACAAGACTTGGAGTCCGAAAACATAGTTCTAATCACAGCTCAACCACTATCTCACTTGGTGATCTCACAAGATAAAAATGCAAACAACTTAATATAACATACATGGTGCCATACAATTTGCTACTTCCAATCATTTATCTCACCATTCTATCCATATCAATTCCTACCACACTGAATTTCTCACTCTCCCTCACTCTCCAAGGTTCATTACAGTTTATCATCTTTGCATGTTATTCCCTAGGTCTGGAAAGACCTCTTCAACTCTATCCTCCTCTTCACCTAGCAAACTCCTACTCACCCTTGAAGAGCTAGCTTCTTCCATCTCAACTCCCACAATCTAGTGTGTTGTAATTTACTGTATTATATATAGACTGATACAAATGCAAATGTTTGATGAAATGAATGTTTAAATGAATGAATGACCAATCTGAGGCAGTTTCCCATTCTAAACAATTGAGAAAATAATACATCTGAAAAGCAACATCACATATACATTAGGAAGAGAGATCTGCTTTGAAATCTAATTCTATGATCTTCAGCAAATTACTGACCTCTGTGAGTCAGATTCCTTGCCTATAAACAGGTTTCAAAGGGTTGTTATACTGAATAAGTTAAAAAAAAATGCATAAACAGTCTAGCACGGTGCCTAGAAGAAAACAGGCACACTAAAAAATTTTGGTTCCATTCTCTCTCACCTTCTTCAACTCATTAATTATAGATATCCAATAAGATGATTTGACATAAAAATAATTTGAACAACATAAGACACCACACAAATCTCTCACTTAAGGGAGAAAAAAATCCTAAAGTTAATCTCCATATTTATATACCCTTACTTATCTTTGTAAGAAATACTCTGGAGGAAAAGTCAGAACCTGCTGTTTTCAGTGTGTGTGGTTTATTTGAATACAGTCTGTATAAAATAAAGTTTTTTTTTTAAAGAAATACTCTGGAGAAATGCTGGTTTTTAAACATTCCCCCAAATTATGTAATTATTTATGATTCTAGAACTAAAACAATTCAGGATCATTTGTCTTTTTTAGGTCTTTCTAGAATTATTCTTTTTTAGAACATATTTCTATCTGCAGCAGTGGCTTTAACTGAATTTTTTAAACTTGTTTTAATCAATTCAAGTATTTGCAGTTTATTTTAAAAAGGAACACCTCTCATTTGAGTTCTGTTTTGACAAACAAAAACTTCTGGCAACAACCTTTACAGGTAAGTATTGCTTTTTTTTTTTTTTTTTAATTAAAAAAAAACAGGGTCTTACTCTGTCACCCAGACTGGAGTACAGTGGCACAACTGTGCCTCACAGCAACCTTGAACTCTAGGGTTCAGGCAGTCCTCCCACATCAGCTTCTGGGACTACAGATGCACACCACCACACCAAGATAATTTTTTTATTTTTTGATAGGAACAAAGTCTCACTATGTTGCCCAGGCTGATATTGAACTCACAGGCTCAAGCAATCCTCTTGCCTACACTTCCCAAAGTGCTGAGATTACAGGCATGAGCCACCTGGCCAGGCCCTACAAGTAAGTGTTGATTATTTTGTTTGTCTGAAACTAGAAACCTTCTACAATGTATAGATTCAAACACCTTTCTTGACCCACAGACCCTGATATAACTTTTTGTTGAGAACACAACATGGTACTTATTTTGTATGTCAAGGTTAACTTTGAGATTAAAAAAAAAAAGTTCTAGTTACTTACTCTGTCTAAAATGAATCCACTGAGAACAAAAATTCTCCTTAAACAGCTTTGTTAATCAGAGAAATTTATAATTATACATTTTGATTCTAAAAGGTCTGAAATTAAAATATAGACACTGTATTGTTCTAGCTCGATCAACTAAAAAAATGTAATTTTAGGTGTGACTTAGAATTTGTAAAATTGAACTAAACTTATATGCATGACAATATCTTGTTAATTTATCTGTATTACTAACAACTTGGCTTATGACAATGAAAAGACCTTAAATTTCCTTTCTATATTTAAATGTTTGCTGGATTTAAAACATCAAATGTCATTAACTTTCACTTCCATTTCTGAATTATTTTAAGAAAACTTAGTTTTTCAGTTTCCACACTAGCCAAGTGAAAAACTGCAAGCAGCAGGAAAACTTATCTAAAAGAGTTTTAAAAGTAAGTTTTAAAATTTATATTAAATATATTTTTAAAGCATAAAACGACTTAAAATTCTTATCTTCCCCAAAGTATATGCTTCCTAAGAAGCACGCTTTAAAAATGTTTATAAAAGCAACATAGCACACTAGACACTAGTAAGTTCATTATCTTAAGCACAGCTTTTTAATCGAATCGATATTTCATAATTTTACAAGTTGTGACTAATCAGTACTACGATGCCGTGTAGTGACATACATGAGTTCTGAGCCTAAAGAAAATTCCAGCACACATACACACACACAAAGTAAGTCGGCTTTTCTTTTTAAACCATCCCACAACTCAACACCTCTGTATGGCATTCTCTCTAAATTATCATATCCGGTTGGGATTATCCAATTTTATTAGCTAACAGTTCTCATTACTTTAAAAACAGAAACAGGATATGTTCTGTTTCATCAAGTCTACAAACATTTCGCTGCTACAAGACTGGAGGGAAAAAAAATCTTTGGAAATAAAAGATAATCTGATCCATTAGAGCTAATTACTAAATGCATGCCAACAATACACAATTCGAATTGCAGTTCTGGGCACAATTTATGGTCATGAAAGGGCAGGTCAAATGTGTAAGGAACTGCTTTTATCAAAACGAAGAAGCAGATATACTGAATCTAAACCTCACACAAAATTCATCTAAGACTCGGTAATCTTCTGAAAAGAAAATATTTAATCAACGTTGTTCATGTAACAGTAATTCATCCCATTGAAGTACGACTAGAAATCCCGCTGGTGTGTTTCTTTCAGGTCAAAACATCTCATTCTTTCGCAATCCATATACCAACAGGATCTAAAACCCTTCGCAGAGGCGTGCAACACACTAGGAGAGCGCAGTCTGTTTACAAATGCGAATCTCAGTTACCCACGTCAAAACCGCGCATTACCACCTTTCGACTGGGGGGCGGGGGACAGGGAAGGCGGGCTAGCAAGAAATGAAATCCACCCAGACACCCCTGCCTTCTCCCTACAAGGACGAGCCCCGGGGAAACGTTCAGTATGTATTATATGCGTGTAAACATTTATACACATTAGTCACCTATATCTAAGCAAGGGTAAAAGAAAAGGTACACATGACAGGGAATCGTAACTGAACCCAAGAGAAATGTTCAAACCAATCCCGTTAACTCAAAATCCATGCCCGCTGGTCTACAACAGGTTTCGATCCGGGACAGGGAGCCCCAGCCACAGTGTGGAGTTCGTCCCCAAAGCGCCCCAATGCCCTCCTCAGGCCGCCCAGGCCGCTGTCTCTACCTCCCTTATCTCAGCCTTCCCCTGGGACACCCGAAGCCCATTCCAGGAAAGAAAGAAGTGTCAGGCCCCGAGGGAACGGCTGAGACGCTCTCAGGCTGGGCCCCCGACACCTGCGAGGCTCGGCACCTGAGGAGGGCGAAGCGGGGGCCGCCGGCCTTCCCGAGCACACCCCCTCGGCACCCGGCGCAGCGCTGCGGCCGGAACAGCGTACCTGCGAAGCCCGCGAGCTACAGGCGCGCGCGACGCCTCCTCATCTCAGTGGCTCCCGCTCTCCCTCCGCCTCCTGCTGCCGCCGCCGTCGCCGCTGCCGCCGCTGGAGGCCGGGACACGACGAGCTCAGGACTCCACCGCCATGTCCGCCACGCCGCGAACTGCATTGTGGGGGGGAAGGGATGGGGAGGGGGAAGAGGAGGGAGAGGGAGAGAAAAAGGAGGACCCGCTGAGGGGAGGGGGCGAGAGAGAGGGGCAGCCGGGGGAGAGGGGGAGGAGAGGAGGGAGCTTGGAATGGGGTCCAGGCCCGGGAGGGGAGGAGCTAGGCGCAGAGGAAAGGGTTCTGGAGTGTCCCCTCCCTTCGTTCCGGGGGGCCCCCCCAGGCACCGTTTACAGCGGGGCGGGGGAGGAGAAACAGCACTGGGGGGAGGGGGCTCTTGGTGGCCGCGAAGACACAATGGGGAGAGGGCCGAGGTGGGAGGACCATGCACTCACACCGACGCGGAGGGAAGGGAGCGCGCGCGAGACACTCGTTAGCTCGCGAGGAGGGGGCGGGCCCCTGGCGGAGAAGGAGGGAGCCACCAGGGGCTCCCGGGCAGGGGCGGGGGCGGGGCCCCCGAGCGGAGGTCGCGAGGTCCCGCAGCCCGCCCGGGCGTCGCGGGTAGCCGCGCGAATTCGCCTGCTTGCCTTGAGGGGCCGGGGGTGGCCGGCAACCCCGCTCCGCCTCCTTCAGGTTCTAGGGTTCTGCGGAGGCCCCGGGGCTGGAAGCGGAGCCGGAGAGCTGCCTCGGCGCTTCGCTCCCCTGGCTGCTCCCCCTGGGGAGGAAGGCCGGCCTGGGATGGGTACCCTCTGGCCTGGCACTCGAACTGAGCCTGGCCAGAGCCTCAGTGGACCTTCGGCCTCCCGTGCGGGCTTCCGGGCAGCGGCAGGGAGCGGGACCAAGGAAGCCCCCGGGGTCGACCCCCACCCATCCACCACGGCCTTCAGTCGACCACAGCTGGGTATTTTTTACTTTTAAAAGGCAGCCAGTTCGGGAATTAAGGAGCTCAAAAGAGAAATCTTGGGAGCACTCCTCCTCCCACCCCCAAAAGAGATTTTAGAAATCATTTCTTTAGTTGCAGGCGGGCATAAAACCAACTACCACCGATGGGGCCCCTCCTCCCCTTGCTTTTAACATATTACATTCCTTTACATAATTTTTTAAAATCACGGGCAGAGCAGACTTAGGGTTTTGTTAGTTTGGGTTTTTTTGTTTTTGTTTTTTTTTTTCTGAAGACCCCATCCTCAGATTATTCAGCCAACCTCTGACCTCAAAAATGGACAAAGCACACAACCTGTGTTCTGTTCCCAGCCCGTTGAGTTTGACACATGCTAGGCAGGAAGAAGGTTTGACAAGAGTGGACCTAGGGTTCAAGGGAAGATGCTAAATCTTAAGTATTTACCAGATAGTGCCTTATAAATTTTCTTATAATGTGACTCAGGCTGGAAGTGGTTAGAGGTTGCAGAGGGACCCTCCACTTAACGATAGTTTTGCTCCCATTTACAGATGGAAAAAACTAGCATTCAGAGTTAGTGCATTTTACCCCTATCTGGTTGATGCTACAAGGCCGAGGTATAATGGATAGAGGACTGGATTTCTAGTCAAAAGAGCCCTACCTGGTTTTGGCGTGTATCAATATGATGCCTTTGAGCAAATGTACCCTCTGAGTTTCCTCATCTGCAAGTTGTTAATCTGTATCCCTGCTTCACTTGACCAGCTTAAAAACAAAAATATCCCTACTTCAACAGGCTGATGTAAGGAACTCAGCAGGAAACAAAAGTGAAAGCCTAAAGTCTATAGAGACACTAAGAAGATACCAACATGCCCTTCAATTTAGTGATATCAATGGTGTCCTTAGAACAAGTTCAACTGAGTACACATTTCCTAGTTACTTAAGAGCAAAGCGTTGTTAGGTGCCTATGGAAACAAAGACAAACCACTGATTCCTGTCTCCAAAAAGTTCACCATTGAGCAAGGCAGGTGAGCTACAATAAAAGCAACAGGTCGTGTTAACAAAAGGCTGGGCAAATCCAGAGGAGAGTGTGATAAATTCCACTTTGGTGAGACTTCAGTGGAAGAAGTAGAAGCTGGACCTTGAAGATCTGCCTGCTGTGTGCCAGACACATGTCTGTGATTCAGTGGACAGCATTGAGTCTGGAGTGTGCAGAAGATAATGAGTCTGGAAAAGAAAGTTGAGGCCAGACTCAGAATTTCAGTGCCTCTCTGCCCTTATCCCCTCCAGTTAACTCTCCTTTACTACCTTTCTTGTTCTCCAAGACCCAGCTCCACCTCTAGCTTCTTTATTAAATCTCCCTGATTACCACCCTTCCTCTGCACTCCACTGAATGTGATCCCTCCATTCTCTAAATTCCCTGACCCCAATAGATTGTACACTTGAGCACAGATACTTAACAGATATTCTTTACGATACCTACATTCTTGTTGAGTTGGAAATTTTGGCAACTGTAATCTTGTTTATCATCACAGCTACAGCAAGTATTATTCTGACACAATAAGGAAATTTATGGAGTATAAGGTGTAATTCATGTCCAGGGTCATACAGTAAGTCACAGGCAGGACTAGAATACCAGCCCTGTATTCTTTCCATTGAACCACAAGCAGGTTTCTGAGATATAAAATGGTAAATGTCTGACTGCTTTTTTAAAATACTCCGAAGACCTACACTTTCAAGGGAAATCTCATGATTGTGGTTAAGCCACCAGCCTGGAAGTTCTGAAAACTTAGTTTCATCCAAACCCAGGTGAAAATAACTTGCAGCAAAAATGTTAATTCATTATATCTCATGAGGAATATAATTACTCAGTGGATCAATATTCATATTCTGTTGTCTTTCTAGGTGAATAAGAAAACTTAATAACTAATAATATTGAATGAAAAGGTGACTTGGTAAGTAAAATCATGACAAGAAAGGTGCCTAATCCCAGCACTTTGGTAGGCTGAGGTGGGCAGATCACTGTGGTCAGGAGTTCAGGACCAGCCTGGCCAAAACCAGGAAACCCCATCTCTACTAAAAATCCAAAAATTAGCCAGGCATGGTGGCTGGTGCCTATAATCCCAGCTACTCACTCAGGAGGCTGAGGCAGGAGAATCGCTTGAACGAGGGAGGCAGAGGTTGCAGTGAACTGAGATCGTGCCTCAGCACTCCAGGCTGGGTGACAGAGCAAGACACCATCTCAAAAAAAAAAAAGAAAGGTGCCTAAGTCTGTTCAATCCAAGTTCTGCTGTTTGATCATAAAGGGTCCTGTATGCCACTGGAAAAAAAAAAGAGCAGACTTTATATTGTAGTTATTGGGGAGTCACTGATCACTTGTAAACAAGGGAGAGATACAATCAGACCTGCTAAGCTGTTTCTCTGACCCCATTTTTTTTCTGTGCACTTGATTCCTTTAGGAAGAGAGACTATAGACTCTGGGTGATAATGATCTCCAGTGAAAAACAGTGCGTCACACCCATGATGTGGTCCAAACCAAGTCTCCTTCACCTTTGTATTTTCAGCACCCAGCATAATCCTGACACATCAAAAGTACTCAGAAATTGCTTGTTGACACTTTAAATTGTCCGTAAAGCACAAGATATGGTCAGTGTTTAAAATTTTTGTGATTCTTGCAAAGACCATGACAATGCCAAAGCTCTTAAGATATATGCTCACCTCAAGACGGTGTAAAGAATTTACTTCTCTTCATCTCTTCAAAGTTTTCCTTCTAAAAGGTAATTAAGATAAAATGTTTAAGAATGCCTATTTCATAGTAAATGTTCCACAAAAATGAATTCCCTTTCTTCTTAAAATTTAGTTTCTTCTTTTGAATACCAGTAAGTGGGGGGAAAAATTAGTTTCTTCTCATCTGCGCCATTTGGATTTCATGTGCCTTTAGACTCACACTAGCACATGTGTGTACTTGCTACCTGTTGACTCCATTTCCTCTGTCCTGAGGATTCTATGTGTGGAATTTTAAACAACAGCCACTCCCTGTAGCTTACTTCATTGAAACATTAGAAACAGTTTTTTTTAAGGTGGCATTTTTTAAGTGAATAATATTTTAGAATTTAAAAGGACATTAGCGTTCATACAGTTAGGGATATCAAAAACATACATATGGCAGAAGATGATACTATAAAGTTAGACTAGGACCACATCATTTTTTAAAAAGCAAGCCTTTATTCTGAAGTTACTAGGCAATCACAGAACATCTGTAAACAAGGAGAGAGATGCTCAGACTTGCCTTCTACTGCAGATGCTCATCTGACTTCTATTTGAACATTCGTAGCTGTGGAGAGCTCATTCCTTACCAAATCTACCTATTCTAAGAATTAGAAGTGCTTCCCTGACTGAGCTGAATTTTTCCTTCTGTGATACATATTTGTTGGTAATCCTGGCCTCAGGAATAACATCAGCCTTCTTTTTCTTTATCCATAAAAACAAGGGAGCCAAGCATGGTGGTTCACACGTGTAATCCCAGCAATTTGGGAGGCTGAGGCAAGAGGATCGAGGCCAGGAGCTTGAGATCAGCCTGGGCAACACAGTGAAACCCCCATAAAAAAAAAAAAGACTGGGTGCAGAGGCTCACACCTGTAATCTAGCACTTTGGGAGGCTGAAGCGGGTGGATCACAAGGTCAGGAATTCGAGACCAGCCTGGCCAACATGGTGAAACCCCGTCTGTACTAAAAATACAAAAATTAACCAGGCATGGTGGCAGGCACCTGTAATCCCAGCTACTTGAGAGGCTGAGGCAGGAGAATCACTTGAACCCAGGAGGCAGACGTTGCAATGAGCTGAGACCACGCCATTGCACTCCAGCCTGGGTGACAGAGACTCCATCTCAAAATAAAATTAAAAATTGGCCAGGCATCATGGCTCACACCTATAATCACAGCACTTTGGGAGGCCGAAACAAGCAGATCACTTGCAGTCAGGAGTTTTAGACCAGCCTGGCCAACATGGCAAAATTCCATCTCTACTAAAAAATATAAAGGTTAGCCAGACATAGCACAGAACTGTAGTCCCAGCTACTCAGGAGGCTGTGGCAAGCTACTCATGCCACTGCCCTCCAGCCTGGATGACAGAAGGAGACTCTGT